GGCGACAGAGTGAGACTCCAACTCAAAAAAAAAAAAAAATTAATTAATTAATTTAAAAAATTTTTTAAAAGAGTGTAAAAACTGAAAATGTCTGTGTTAGAACTCCTCTTGATCCAGCTTTCTGGGCAGGAGAGTGTGCTGAGCAGATACAGAGGTGACTCGAAACCCAGGAGCAGCGGAGCAGGGGGCCCTATTCTCAGACGCCTCCCAGGACTCTCCTTGCTCCTCAGGGTTTTTTTTGTTTGTTTGTTTTTTGTTTTTGAGTCAGAGTCTCACTCTGTCACCTAGGCTGGAGAGCAGTAGCATGCTCACAGCCACCGTAGCCTCGACCTGCTGGGCTCAGGTGATTCTTCCGCCTTAGCCTTCCAAGTAGCTGGAACTACAGGCATGTGCCACCAAGCCTGGCTAATTTTTTTATTTATTGTAGAGATGAGGTCTTGCCAAGTTGCCCAGGCTGATCTCGAACCCATGGGCTCAGGCAATCCTCTTACCTCAGCATCCCAAAGTACTGGGATTATAGACATAAGCCATGGCTCCCAGCCCCTCCTCAGATTTAAATATCTCTCTAGCCCCTGCTTCACCCTCCTCATGCCATAAACTGGCTTTCTCTGCCTCCCAGTTTGTGCTCCCTAAGTTCAAGGAAGTAGTCAGCCGAAGCCAGTGCCTGCCCAGGCTGGCTCAGCCCCATTGGGAGGTGCCCCATTAACCAAGGCAGGAATGGGCTTATGTGGAGAGCACAGCTGCCACCATGGAGACGGGAGGGCAGGGGCAGCAGGGCAGTCCTGGCAAAGGCCCGGGAAGGGCAGACACGGGGGTCAGGATCCAGGAAACACTCAGATGGGCGAATACTCCAGAGATGATGTGAACAATCTGGACTTCAGGAAAAGCCACAACGAATTTGCAGAAATAACAACACAGTCATAGACAAATAGCATGAGTACAAGAAGAAAAAATTGTTCAAACTCTAAATTTTGCAAGGCATGTTTAGCAGCAAGGCATCGTTTTGTACTTACTAAACTCAGGGGGCAAGTTTTTAGTGCAGAGACTCGGTGCTGGTGGAGCATCACTGATGGTTGATGGCAGAGTTAAGTTTGAAGCCCCTTTCTAGAAGGACTTGGCATCCCACCTTACACATGCCGAGAAGCAGGAAAATGGCAACATGAGTCATCTCCCTAAGAATTCATGTGGAAAACTTGGGAAGAGTTAAGGTCTGTTTCTTGGAAGCACTATCTTTCATTGCAAAAGAATGGAAAGTCTGGAAAAACTCAACACTAGCAGACTAGCTCAGGCTGTGGTGGGCCACCCACTCAGTGGATGCTCACTGGAATATTCTGCAGCAATGTAGAAAAAGTATTGATTTAATTTCAGGCACAAAAAGCAGAACACCATGATTCCAGTTCTGCCTGCCCCAAAATGAAGCCTCCTTTGTAGGGCAGGCAATGCTGTAGGAGAATTCTCTCCTCCAGTTTCTTTTATTCCTAAAGTGTTACCACACTGTGGAAAAAGTTCACCAGCAAGTCAGCTGGTATTTATGAAACACCCACTGAGTTTTCAGTGAATGTGTAATGAATGAGATTGTTCTAGCTCCTTCTCTCCACTTAGTGTTGTTTGGTGACACGTTGTAGTGATGACTGGTGTGGGACATGAGCTGCTTAGCGGACATCGTGGCGCTTTTGCTTGCTGCTGGTGGGTTCAGGCAAGGTGGCAGCAGACCTGTCCCAAGGACCCTGTGGGAGGGAGTCAGGTGTAAGCACACCCTACGGCTCCTACCCCTGGGCTCTTCCAAAGCTGCACTGACAATGGTGCCAAGGAAGCACACTGTGCTGCCCCATCCTTCCCGCCTCCCTGACCGGAGCTCAGCCTCAGAGCAGCTTTGTGAGTGTGTGCTGTCGTGGTCACATGTGGGAGATAAGGAAGCTGAGAGGAGTCACAATGAGGACCACATGACGAGTCAGGGAAGGGCTGCCAGCAGGGCAGCTCTGATTGCTGCCCCCAGGAGGAACGGCCCCTCCCACTTCTGTGGTTCCTCCTGTGCTGAGGAAAGGCTGAGACAGTGGGAGGCTGATCTGAGGGTGCACATACCCCTGCCCCTCAAGGGACTGCCTGGAAATTCCGCTTGTCACCCAAAAGATGCTGCTGATTTCGGATCCGCGTTTGCTCCACCTGCCTAAAGCTGAGGCTCGGCTCTTGGCTCCCTCATGGTCCGCCAGCCCCTCTCACTCACAGGCCTCCCCACACCCCTTCTCTTGCTGCCCATCCTGGTCCACAGCCAGGAGTGATTTTCTCCCCATTCTTAACCCTGTGGGGTCCTGTTTATCCTTCAAGACCCAGCTCACGGCTAGGCATGGTGACTCACACCTGTAGCCCTAGCATGGTGGGAGGCTCACTCAAGCCCAGGGGTTTGAGACCAGCCTGGACAACTGTTTCTGGTCCCACCTCTCCAGCCCTACAACACCAACTGAGTGTCTAATAATTCAGTCAATTCCAATGCTGTCTACTTGGAATTAGTGTCAGATGCCATAGGTTAAAGGGCTCAGTCCCACAAGACTGCAGTCACTTTTGATGCCAGTTCCAAGTCTTGAGTCACTTGTCTTTTCTGAGAGGCTAAATTGGGTTCCCATGATCCCCTCTGCAGGTTTGATAATTTGCTAGAACTCACAAAATCCAACAAAGTGCTTTACTTACTATATCAGTGTATTATAAAGGATGTGCAATCCAAGAATGGCCAGGTAGAAGAGATACACAGGGCAAGGGAGGGGTAGTATGGAGCTTCTGTGCCCTCTCTGGGCATGCCACCCTCCCAGCACCTGATGTGTTCAGTAATCTGGAAGCTCTCTGAACCCTGTGGTTTAGGAGTTTTTATGAAGGGCTCATTAGGTAAACACGATTGATTGGGAATAAACTCAGTCTCTAGACTCTCCTCCTGCCTTCTAATCAAGACTTGGTCTTTCTGGCGACCAGTCCTCATCCTGAAACTATTCAGGAACCCACCAAGAGCTGCCTCATTAGATCAGAAGCTTGTATCACCTTCATCACTCAGAACATTCTAAGGGCTTTAGAAGCTCTGTGCCAGGAACTGGGGAAAAAAAACCAAATGTCTTTTTATGATACTGTATGGGCCCTATGATGATTCTGTTGAACTTTGAGAAAATACCAAGCTGTTATTCAAAGTGGCTGCCTCTTTTTTTATTTCCACCAGCAATGTATGAGAGTTCTGGTCTTTCTACATCTTTGTCAACCCTTGTTATTGCTTGTCTATTTGATTATAGCCATCCTGGTGGGTGTATCTCATTGTCTCTTTGATTTGAATTTCCCTAATGATGTTGAGCATCTTATCATGTGCTTCTTGGTTATTTATATATCTTCTTTGGAGAAATGCCTGTTCAAATCTTTTGCCCATTTTTAAATTGGGTTGTCTTTTTGTTGCTGAGATGTAAGGGTTCTTTACATATTCTGGATACTAGGCCCTTATATTAGATGGATGATTTGCAAGTATTTTCACCTATTCTGTAGATTGTCTTTTTTACTTCCTTGATAGTACCCTTTTGAAGCATAAAAGTTTTTAATTTATAATCTAGTTTATCTATTTTAATTTGTTTGCTTATTTTTTAGTTGTCACATCTAACATGTATTACTTAATTTAAGATGATGAAGATTGGTATCTGGGTTAAGAGTTTTACAGTTTTAGCTCTTATGTTTATGTCTTTAATCTATGTTCAGTTAATTTTTGTTTATAGTGTGTGGTAGGGGTTCAACTTATTATTTTTCATGTGGTTATCCAGTTGTACCAGCACCATTTATTGAAAAGACTGTTCTCCCCTGTTGAATTATGTTGGCATTCTCATTGAAAATTACTTACAGCCGGGCTCGGTAGCTCAACCTGTAATCCCGCACTTTGGAAGGCTGAGGTGAGTGGATTGCCTGAGCCCACGGGTTCGAGACCTGCCTGGGCAACTTGGCGAGATCTCATCTCTACAATAAATCAAAAAATTAGCCGGGCGTGGTAGCATGCACCTGTAGTTCCAGCTACTTGGAAAGCTGAGGCAGAAGGATTGCCGGAGCCCAACAGGTTGAGGCTGCGGTGGCTGGGAGCATGCCACTGCACTCCAGTCTGGGCGACAGAGT